CTTATCATAAGTGCCTCGCGAGGTTGTCCTTCACTGTATACGGTATTATCTGATGCAACCGCGGAGCCAGCATCAGATTCTTCATCTTCTGAAGGGAGTCTTGTCCGAACCCTACCATAGGTTGCTCGCTTGATGGTTCCGGACTGCAGACGGGTTATAGGCCGGGATGCTTTCAGAATCGTTCAACCACCGTTCTTCTTCGTCGGAAATGCCTAGGCCTTGGTTTTGGCGTTTCGGTACTAAGTCTTTCGAAAACTGAAACTCTTTCGGGGACCGCCTTGATGCAGTTGCACTCAAACAATACTGCCCGAATAAGTTTGGAACAAGGGCATTGAGTTTCCTATTCTCGGGGACTCCTCTTCCTGGTTTTACTCGCACCCCCAACACGATAGTACAATTCGTCTGCTTGACCTATCGTGTGTTGGCACGACTTCTTAGGTATAACATTATCGTCATCAGACGGTAATGTTTCCTTCTGAGGGTGAACTGCCTTCTTTGGGCTTTCGAAAGTCACGTGCCTCGAAACATGCCTTTTTGGGCGTGAGTTCTCGGCGGGCTCCTGGACTTCAATGCGCAAGTTGGTGCGCATGACTGCCCTGGTCTCTTTGTCATGTTGGAGGTGACGGCGACCCCCAGCATGTTACGTCGTCCGGGGCTTCTTCATCGGGCCCAAACGATCTTGAACAGGAGCTTTGCCTCTCTTGTCGGGAATCGGACCGAGGCGCTCCAAGACTGACGTTTTCCTTCGGGATGATTCTGCATGATCTCCCAGAGAAGCTATTGGGATTACCGGGGACTTTGGTTGATTCACCGGAGGTTGAACTTTGGCTGGAGGCTGCTTCGGCCTCCACACTTGGCGGGTTGATGGTGGCTTCTTGGCCACTCTTTCTTTCTTCAATTCCTCGGCCTTCTGTATAAGGATTTTTGCTTGTGTAAGCAATGCGCGGCGTTTGTGAATCCGCTCTTCGAGTGTCGAACGGTTCCGTTTGACCCGGATCTATTCGTTTGTTGGCGGCTTGGAGGAGCAGTCATTCTTCAATTGTTGAGGCTGTTTGCCTCTCCTGTTCTTCAGATCCGCGTTGTAGCAGACCCCGTCCGTAGACTCCATCGCCTTAGCGAGTTGCCGCGCAAGGTGTTGACGTTGCCTCTGGCGGGCTCTCTTCGAGAGAGTCACAACGCCTTCAACAGTAGAGGCGTCGGCGAGAACAGGTTTGACCTCGTTGGAGGTCGGTGGAACTTCACCCGATGCGACTTTGGCATCAGTTGGGGTGAGAGCGTCATTGGTATTCTGAACTTCTTCAAACCAACGAACTTTTCTCCTGGAGGAGAACTTCTTGGACTTGCGGGGGGAGGTAGATCCGGACGAGGATGAGAGGTACTCCTCGAACTTGGCCTGGTCGAATTCATACTCGACCTCCTCCTCGACCGAGATTGAGATCCGCGGCTGCGACGTGACGATCTCGGCAGCGAGATCGGTGGCTCCCATTGTGGTCGCCAGATTGTTCGCGGTGAAAATTGCCTTCATTGAATTCATTGTTATCTCAAGTAATTGCTTTTTGGTTACAAAAGATCCGGTCTTTTTTAGATCCGGTTACAACGAAATCAAAGAAAAAGAAAAAGATTACAACTTTCCTTTCGAACGAATCACGAGCTCCTGTTTTGCGGTCGCTCGCTTGTGTGGGTTCTTTGCCAACGCCGGGGTTAATCCGTGGACCACCGCGCGATCTATATCCGGTCGGATCTACACGATTTGACGGGTATTATTTCGCGAAGGAAATAATAGCCGGGGGGGATTAATTCACCAAGGAAATAATCGCCCTTAGTTCTCGGGATCAAAGGCCAAGCTTTGATCCGGAGTATGATCTCGTGTAGATCTCAGATCTGATCTTTCTCTCTCTCGAACGCTACCTAGAGGTGGCTCGGCTTTGGCCGAGCCACCTATAGGTGGCTCGGCCTTGGCCGAGCCCCCTTAGGTGTGGTTTTCCGTCGTTTTCCGTTTTCGGTTCAGTCTGTGATCCGGTTCTGTGGTTGATTTATCCGGACTTGAATCGTTGACCTGATTTGGCAGTAAATCCGATTCCTGATTTGGTAGTAAATCCACTTCTGAGTTCGAGTCCGAAACTGATCTTGATTCGATCATGATTCGTCCGAGTCCGCCCTTGGATGGATGACTCGTTGACTCTTCAACCCGTTAGCTTGATTCCGTACGTGAGTGGATCTATTCCGTTGTTTGCGTGCGATTCGTTAACCTCGTCGCCTCGTTGGTTCGTCGGTTTGTGCTCAGCTGTGCTAAGGGATCTATAAGCAATTTTATACGCCTACACAGGGGATTCAGTTCCCACTTTCGTTGGTGATGGTCTAACAATTAACTTCCCTTGGGAGCAAGCAACACATGAGAATTTATTAGAATTTAGTATTTTTTTTTTGATTTTTCAATGAATGCTCATGTGAATTTGTAATTATCCGCCTCATCATTATAGAGCCAGGATGTCCAAGGCGATTATGCCAAATAATAAAATCATTGGAATTAGTAGACTTCTGGTCTTCAAGGTGATACATTTCAGCTGCACTTATTTTTATATAATATAAACCAGAAGATAGAGATGGCAGCTTTTCTAGTAAGCATGTCTTCTCAGAAATGGTATTTGTAATGAATAAGTATTCATCATTTGTCTCATTCATCGTCTCAATATGATATCCATTTCGGCGGATATCTTTAAAACTTAGCAAATTTCTTTAAGACTTTATCGAGAGTAGTGCATTATTTATGACAGTTTTAGTTCCTTCGGGGAGAAATATAGTGACTCTTCCGGAGCCATCAATCAATTTAGCACTACCACTTATTGTGATAACATTTGTTTCTTCCATTTTCAAATGAGAAAAATACTTCACGTTGCTAAGTTTGCTAAGTAAATTACAAACAAAAGTAAATATCAATAAAGTCCATAAATTACAAAATTCATAAAGAAAATTGCATAAAAGATGTGAAAATAATAAAATTCAAAATGTCGAGTATTTACCATGGGATCATTTCGCAACTTCACGTTGCTCAAGGAAATCAGCTACATCAAAGGTGTGTGATATCATCAAGATCATCATAAACATTGTTTTGATCAATAAATTTTGTCTCGGTATTTTTACATTTCCCTTTTAATGATGCATGATAGAGGTTAACAAGATATTTTACCGTACGACAGGTACAAGACCAATGGCCTTCTATTCCAGGCCGGTAGCATATTTCCTTATAATCACTACAACACCTGAAATCTACCATAGCGGTCGAAAAACGCTATGGTATTATTTCATAGCGTTTTAATCAACGCTATGTCAGAACCCGCTATAGTAGGTCTGTGGCTTTACATAGCGTTTCCCCAAACGCTATCAAAAAGTTTCCAACCATAGCGTTTTTATGTAGCTATAAAAGAGTATTCAATAGCGTTTCTATATTGCTATGACAAATATCTTTCATAGCGTTTGGAAAACGCTATTAATTAGTTTTTATTCATAGCATTTCAACGCTGCTATTGTCTTATATTTGATAGCGTTTGAGTTACTACAATGGCGTTTTAGCGAATGCTGTCTTTCTTCTTTTAATAGCATTTCAGCAATTGTTTTCACTTCTTATAGCATTTCAGTTGTGCTTATAAACCTTTGAGGTTAAACTAGAAATAGCTTCCAATTATGACAACCATAAAAGCAAATATTTTATTTAAAGGTTCAAACTGATACATAACCAAGTTGTAGCATACAAGAAGTTCAATACAAATGTGCCAAAAAACAAATACTAGTCTTTGGATAATCCAACATGGAGTACAAGAAATTAACCATAGTACACAAAACAACAAAAACTAACTTTGCTGCATTACATATGACTTGGGAGACTCATCATCTTCAGCAATTGAGTACTAGTACTGCTGCAAAAATAGAAATTAACAACATCAATAATGAGATCTTAGAACCATGAATATATGGACACAAAACAGAAAACAATAGTACTGGAGAATTTTAACAATAAAGTCTGAAGTCTTGTCCTGGTTGTAGTGAGGTTGCTTCGGAGGGGTATACTTTGTCTTGACTGGGATTGTGGAGGCGTCAATCTCTCCCACATAGTACTCATCCATCATGGCTCTTGCAGTGTTGCTGTGGCCAACATCTTCAAAATCATCAGTTGCATCTTTGCCTGCAAAAATCCATGAAATCATATCTTAAGCTAAAAACGCCATAGGATATCTTTATGTTGCTCGTCAAATGAGATTTTCTTACCGGTTACTGATAATAAAACTTCGTCGCCACCAGGGTGGTCATCAAGGAACTTTGTCACGTCATAAACCTAGTTTTAAAGGAAGATAACAATAAATAAGGTGTTATAAATTGGATGGCCCATTAGGAAAAAGGAAAGAAATAGAGTCCATGAAGTGATGGAAGCATATAAATGCATAAATGCGTTCTCATGTTAAAGTATCACTGCACGCTATTGTAACTTCTTCTCCAGAGTACTTGTGTAAATTGGTCAAACATATTTTTCAGCATTCCATGTACCCTACATAACAAGGATTGCCTAATTTCAGCTGGGTTTAAGTATTTCTAACTAGAAACTGTGTTCCAGGGCTTTGTCAACTGAGAAAGAAATCATGACATGGATAACTAAAACATACCATTGAGGGTTCGAATCACCGCATCATCAACATATGCCATAAATCATAATTATAAATTTGGAAAAGCATGCACTAATAAGAGCAACAATAACCGTGATCAACTGTACCATAGGAATGTGGAGGCACCTGGCAACGGCACGTGTCTGTTACAAAGTTTCCAAGATGGAAACTTTCCAAAAATCTAATACATGGGGATGACTACAGTTGTAATCATGTATGATTTTGTATATTCCTTCAGAAAATAACAGAAGCAATCCTAAACCAAAGACAGTTTTATGCGACCGAATAATAAACCAAAGACGGTTTTCCTTTTGAACCATACGTACACACACCAAGGCACACACATGACACTGGATATGTGCTCAGCCTCTTCAATATGCTATATAGCTTTACAACTACAACCCCTTTGCATAAAAATACCTGTCTCTGTTTATGATCGCTCATAGAATGATGACACCATAATGTAAATACCCATAACTAATAAGGATAATTAAACAGGTGCATGAGCAGAGTACCATAGAAGCCCATGCATAGTGAGGTGAATAACATGAACTAATGTGCTTCAAGCGCAATGCCCGAATTTTCCACTACATTCTTGATGTATTCTTGCCTTGCTGGATGAGCTTCTTGAGGGCGATTGTAAGCAGTCCAAACTGGTTCTCCTTTGAACAATCTCATCAGCTGCAAACATCCGCACCTTCATGAGTCCACGTAAGCCAAATTTAAACAACACTGTATCTCATTACCAAATGAAGTTTAGGAATATTGATCATATATCCTACGATGTAGACTTGTAATACTAAACCTGTCCCAAATCCAAAAGTAATTATTTCTTCATGTATAGATACCAATTACCATTCATGAATTAGCTCTAGGACCAAGTTACTTTAATCATTTGTCAGTCAATCTTTATGCTATTTGAGCTCTGATGCAGAGAAAATATTAAAAAAATAATCCTTATTCACGGGAAGAAAGCCACTGATAAGTTCATGAACTTTAGTAACTCTGGTATATCGCTGGGTGTTTTTAAGGTTATTGCACCAATGAAGGATTTTAAGACTATTCTAGCATAAATTTGTGAATTGCTCGAGTTAGATTATCTTCAGGCTACACCACAGTAAAAGTATTTAACTTTCATAATTCCATGTACTGACAGAGCTCATCAGTCACCCTATCTGCAACTGATTAAATAGTGACACATCAAGAAAATTCTCAATTGTTATGGGATCAACACATTTCAGACATCAGAACAAAATTCATTGAGACTTTGCAAATGTTTGATAATTCAGAAATTTTATCAACCAACAAGATAAAGCATGTAGCATACCTTCACATAGTTTGAAGTGTCGAGGGTGAAGCGATGGTAGATCCCAGCCGGTAATATAATCATGTCTCCTCCTTTGATCCAGATTCTTATCCAACGGTCATCTTTGTCACGGACATCAAAATACCCGCTTCCTTCCAGACAATAACGGATCTCTTCATCAGCATGGATGTGCTCTGTGTAAAAGTTCCTCAGCTTCTCTTCATAGTTCTCAATTTTTTCAGGACAAAAGTCCAAAAGATCCTGCAAAATGAATATTCAAAAAAAAAAAAAAAAGGGAGCGTTGCTATCTTGCATCCATGAGTTCAAATTGCACACCTTTAATTATACACTAAACAGCGCACAACATTTCCTTATTGTCAATCTAGAATGGGTTAATTGCGGACACCTCATAACTTATATGTGCACGACAGACAAGATCCAGATCATGATTTGTCAAGAACTCAGCAACTTTATCAGCACCAAAAGTGTACGAAACCCCTCTATCATTCATTCCCCATCCTTGAATTTCCCTACCAGGATCGGGCCAAAGCAGGTCACACAATAAACCAGTATCAGGGACATCGGTAGGACGTGGTAAGCTTTTAATCTGGTCCAGGTTTGACAAATTTGGGGAAAGACCGCCATGCATGCATACTATTTTGTCATCTATAAGAGCAGCCACAGGTAGACAGTTAAAGCAATCAGTGAACACCTTCCATAGTCTCACGTTAAACCGACGCTTACACTTAATCAATAATTAGAGTATTTTACACAAAATCCATTGGCATAAGTCAATAGAAACGATCTGTGTCTCCTCAATCAAAAATTAAGGAAGATAACAACCGATCTCTACAAAATTCTTATGAAATAAATACTCCAATTTAAGGTAGAAACCCCAATTTAAGGAACGAAATTGCTCTAGAACCTTACTTCGATGCCAGGAATCGATCTTACAAGGTCATCTACGACACGAGCAGCAGATTCGCGCTGAGATCTTTGCAACAATCATTGGATCAAAAGAAACAACAAGAAACATCAGATCCGATACCCGATCTAGGGTTTTGATGAGTCTTGGTGATTTCGTACCTGATAGACGACGAAAATGTCACCGGCGTGAACGAAGCAGGCGAGGCGCCAAGTCCTCGAGAGCGGCGCGGATGGAGAGGGCGGCGGTTGTCCCTCTGAATCATGAAATTTGGGAATGAATTGAGGCGGCGATTAGTGATTTTATTTCGGAGTATGAGAATTTAGGCGGGGAAATGAAATTTGGGGATGAAATTTTGGGGGGAAGAACTGAGGGTTTAGTTAGTTTTCAACGGGCCTGTTTTAATTTTCAGTCTCTAAGTACTCATAGCGTTTAAAAATTTTCAAACGCTATCAAAAAATAAGACACATACTATCTATAGCACTTACAACATAAACGCTATCATTCAACGCTATAAAAAAACAATTTTGTTGTAGTGAATGTTTCTTTTCTTCACTTTTTTATCATTATTTTCCCATTTCTGGGAGTTGTTTTGTCTTCTGCCATGGCTATGATCAATGTGATTATAAGGCACATATCTGCCACCACCTCGTCCACGATAACAACTACGTCCTCGGCCTCCTCCATGGCCATGTCCACGCCCACGACCATGATTTTGAGATTTAGTTGCATTTGCTTTAGGGAATGGGCTAGAACTAGTAGGTAGGGATTCATGATTTTTTAATAATAATTTATCATTTTGTTCAGCCAAAAGGAGGCATGAACTCAATTTAGAGTATTTCTTAAATCCTCTCTCTTAATATTGCTGCTGCAGGAGCATATTCGAGGTAGGAAAGGTGGAGAATATTTTTTTCTAACATATCGTCATCGGTGACATTTTCTCCACACAATTGCAATTGAGAGGTAATTTTATACATTATAGAATTATACTAACTGATTGATTTAAAATCTTATAGCCTTAAGTAAAGCCAGTTATACTGGTCTTTTAGGAGCACGACCACTTTCAGGTGGTCAAATCTTTCCTTCAAATTATTCCACATAGTAAGTGGATCTTTCGCAGTTAGATATTCAGTTTTTATTCCTTCATCCAAATGATGGCGAAGAAAAAACATAGCTTTGGCATGGTCTTGATTTGATATCTTATTTTCTTCCACAATAATATTTTCAAGACCTTTTGTAGCAAGATGTATTTTAACATCTAACATCCAAGATAAGTAGTTCTTTCCAGAAGTATCAAGTTGCGTAAATTCTCGTTTTGTAAGGTTAGTCATAGTGAAAAATGAATTGAATTGGAAAGAGAAATTATACCTCGAAAGTTTATCCAAAATATCAACACGTGCCCAACGATGAATCTAATGGACTTGAAGAAGATTGTTTTGCAAGCACCCTAGAGGTGGGTGAATAGGGTTATTGCTAATCCTACTAGATATTAATATCGATTAAATAATTAACAAATATATCTCAATAATATTGATATTCAATTTCATTAATGCAAGGATATATAAAACAAGAGTAAATCAACAATGGCGATAGTGCATAAAAACAATCACAAACACATGATATGTTCAAGGAGTTCGGTCCTCACGACCTACGTTTCTGCTCCTCACCTCGAGGAGATCTCCACTATCACAACCGAGTTTTCTACACTCACCTGAATAACGTTTACGCCTCACAATTCGATTTTCTAGTTCACTGAATACTTTATACCTTACACAATTGCAATTACACTTCACACCCTCTAAGTGTTAGCCTAGCCTGTGTCACATTCCTCAAGTATTCGGAATTACCACTGTTCGGTAAAAATTTTGTAGTAAAAAGAATAAAAGAAAATTGATTTGTATTCTCTCAATCTCAATTAGAATTTAAATTCCTGATTACAAAAGAGAGGAGAATGATCTGGATTCTTCCCTTTGTTTAATTATAGATTCTTCACGGTAGCGATGGAATGCCTCCTTCGAATGCTTACGTCGAATTTGCTCTCCGTTGACGATACGACCATCTTATCTCGCGAGAACAATTAACTTATGTAATAAGTTTGATGGATAACTCTTAACGAGTTTAAGAACTCAGAACAAGTTAAAACTCCATGGAAAGAGTTGTTAAAATTGAATAATCGATTAAGAAGCCAAATAGATTTGTTTGTTGCTGAAGTCAAAGATACCAATCTCCTCCAAGATTCGTCCTTAGCCGATCACTAGAAAATCTTCCCAAAACCGAACTGAACTGCCTTTGTGCTGTTTTTCGATGAGGAAAGACCTGGCCTCTTGTCAAAAAACCCGATCTTATGTTAAAAAAAAGATCCCCCCTTACTTTGTTGAGTTTTTATAGGGGGATAAGGGGTTGTAACTGCCCCTTTAATCCGCTCCTAAGTGGACGTGATTTCCTCAGATCGTGAGGAAAACAGTTCTGAAACCATTCAACTCATGTTTGAATGAGTCAAACGCCCAATTTGGCATTCAGGACCCTAACTCCATGTCTTAGGGTTGAGACGCGGAGTTGGGTGTTGACTGAATATTGAAAACGTGAGGGCTGCTTGTGTTTTGCTTGTTGAAGCTTGGAAACACGAGGGTCGCTTTCGTTTTGCTTGTTGAAGCTTGGAAACGTGAGGGTTGCTTGCATTTCAGGAATTGAAACACGAAGATGAATTCCGCGTTTAGAAGGGGCTAGTTGACTTGTAACCTCTTCTGTAGAGCTTTGCAATGACCATTATTCAGTAATCCTCGCTTTAGCTATTGTGGGGTGTGAAAGTCGTCAGATTGTAACTCTCACAGTTGATTGTGAAGACCACTGAATAGAGTTTTTATCAATTGTCGGAAGTGTCATTGAATTGTAACTCTTCTCGATCTATGTGAAAAGTCCTCCATTTGTAGTTTTTATTTGTCGATATGAAAGTTATCTGATTGTAACTTTCATCATCGAGATATAGGAGTCGTCGGATTATAACTCTCCTCATTGAAGCTTAACGGGGATCAGCTATCTATTGTTATTTTTAGACAGCCTACAGAACCCCCTCCAAAGTTTTTGAAAGTTCGCGGTTGACTGGGACGAATTTTTGGAATACTTTGGATCCCGAAATTTGATTGATTGATTGTCCGCTTCTCTAATTTGAAGACATCGTGATCCTGGTACCAAAGTATCGAAATTCTGCTTCCTTAAACCAAACAAGGCAATTTTGGTGTCTTGGTGACAATAAACTTAGTCAAACAACCTAAAGCCCAAGTCATTGCTGATGAATCAAACAAGAACGATGATAACAACGAATTTGTCTGGGTCCTTGAGATACTCTACTCAATCTACGACGAGGTGTATTCTCCAGATTTTGTCTGGGTCCTTCAGATACTCCACTCAATCTGCGATGAGGTGTATTCTCCGGATTTTGTTTGGATCCTTCAGATACTCCACTCAATCTACGATGAGGTGTATTCTCTAGATTTCGTCTGGGTCCTTGAGATACTCTACTCAATCTACGATGAGGTGTATTCTCCGGATTTTGTCTGGATCCTTCAGATACTCCACTCAATCTGCGATGAGGTGTATTCTCCGGATTTTGTTTGGATCCTTCAGATACTCCACTCAATCTACGATGAGGTGTATTCTCTGGATTTCGTCTGGGTCCTTAAGATACTCCACTCAATTTGCGATGATGTGTATTCTTTTATCCAGAGAATTCTTGTAGGCATTGATGAACACTCGACATGCAACTTTTAGCTTTATTAATCTTAGTGGGAATGCTAAGCCACTTAGGAGAATAAGCTGTGTGCAACTTCTAGCTTCGTTAATCTTAGTGGGAATGTTAAGCCACTTACGAGAATGAGCTACGTGTAATGGATTGAGCTTTATGATTTTAGCTTCGTTGACTGTAACCTATTTGTACGCATCCAAGAGGCTGCATAACTGCTTGTCATACACCAGTTTCTTCTCGGCCTTGGTTACCTTGATGGCTAACGTCAGCCTCTCTTTATTTATTTGAAGCTGTGTTGTAGCTTCTATTGTTGAGATGTTGTTTTTTTTGAGGTCAAAACGCGTGGGTGAACTCTGCGCTTGAGAATTAGAATGCGTGGGTGAATCTCGCGTTTGGAAGCTCAACCAACTAGAACGCCAAAATCGCGTTTGGGCGGCATTCTAGCCTAGAATCCCATCCCTATTTGATAACTCACAGTTGTCTACAAATAGACTACCGGGGGTCAACTTAAGAGACATTCGACTCTTCTGAAATTTTCTCGAATTTTCAACGAAGATTTTTGTTTTCATCTTCGGCGAACACTGTTCATATCCACCACCCAACAAAATCAATGGCACCTAGGAAGAAGACCGTCTCTTGACCCATCAAACCCGTCGTCGTCGCGACTCAGGGCTTGTCGTCGTCTACGCTGGCCGGTGGTGCTATGGCTCAGGCAGGCGACCGCCCTCGGTTTCCCTTAGTTGGTGGTAAATATGACCTTTGTGGCCATAAAACTTGCTATGGCGAGTTCTAGACTTTGAATCAACGAGGAAACTCGTTTCAGTAATGCGGGGTTGGGACTCTGTCGTTTGGAATTTGAAACATGGGGGTTTTGACCTCCGCGCTTAAAATTTTTGCTAACGCGGGGCTTAATCTTCGCGTTTTATTTTGCTACCGTAGGATTTTGATCTTTGTGTTTGTTCTTACTGACGCAGGATTCAAC